TTGAGGGTCAAGAAAGAATCAAAGAGCAACAAAAACAGTTTACCAAGTTGTTCAAATCTTATGTCAAACTTGTGGATGAAGTTTGTGATGAACGAACCTTGATAGCATTTGAACTGTCCAAGAATTGCAAATATTGGAGATGGCCGATGGTTAGAAAATTCCTCATAGAACGATCCATGACTACTCATCACTTTGATGGTTGTATGTTGGGTGTTCTTGGAAACAACGGTCAACCAATGAAGAAAAGTTGGACTATTGCAGGAAACTTCAAAGAACTCGAAGTGTTAGACTCATTCAAATGTGATGGCAAACATGAGCATGATCAAAGTAGGGGCAAAGCTCTTAAACTTGCTGAGAACTATACCTTCAAGTTGACTGACATGCTCCATGAGTGTTTCCGGGTAGCTGTGGTGGGCCAAACATCCAAAAGGATTTCACCCGCTGTCATTCGTGCCTGTCCTGCTAAAATGGCTGACTCGCGATATGCCACAGCACACCCGGCCAGCCGCGAGGCTGCGCTCGAAGCCACACGTGAGGCTAACAAAGAAGCATGGTTGCTCCTTCACAATCGCATTTTGTTTGCATTGGCCATGCGCAATGAAGGTGAGAATCAGGCTGCTCAGGACCTCGTGGATGGACTGATGACTGAATGGACGCCGGCTTCGGCCCTGAGGTTCTACGGTCGAGAGGATCCGCTTGCAGAATACCTTAGCTTCTGCTTTTTGCCAAAGGAGTCCCACATTGAAAAGATCATGTTGCCAGAGATGCCCGTCAATGATGTAATCTGGATCTTAGTCTCTGACTCATCATGTGCATTGATCACAGGGCGTAGGAAAACACTTAAGAAGTTTGACCTGTCCGAGCATTACCGGCAGCGCAAGCCTAAGTATGTGACTGAGTTCATCCATGAGATGCTTTGGGGCAAGACTCTGCAGAAGCTGGTCAAGCGTGGGATTGAATTGGCCGCGGACGCCCGCGAGCGCTATCCTGATGCACGCATCAACCTGCATTTGTCCTGGTTCGGAAATGAATTGGTAGGAGAGGATGGGATTGCCCAAAATCCAAATTGGCCGTACGACGGCCCCAACGGGCACTGGCCCACGATCCTGGATGATTGTGAGCGCCACTTGACATGGTTTGTCAACAAGGCCCGGGAGTTGGATTTGCAGTCGGCCGGTCTCACGACCGCGCCTTGGAGCGCAGATTACGGCATCCATCCTATCTTTGACCAGTTCTTTGATGTTTTGGAGCCCCGATTTAAAGCTCTAACCAGCAGCCCGCAAGGGCTTGCCAATCCGAAGTATCCGTGGCTGAAAGCAAAGGGGTACGCCGATGCAATGGAATTCAGAGACCAGTGGCATTTCGCCAACTCTGAAGAAAATCGCACGCGTCTTGCTGCCTTTTGGACAGCTACCCTTTTCGCAATTGATTGCGGATGGCGGGTTGGCCGAATTGGTTTGGAGCTTGCTCAGTGTGGCCAGGAGACATGGGATGATTTGCGGAGGAACATGAGCGCCGTCCTGGACGAGCTGCCAAGATCCTATCAGGAGACATGTGCAAACATCACCAAGTTGCTTTTTGGAGAGTCCCGAAGACACATCACGCCGACGGGCAGGTCATTCACCAAGGAGGACGTCGAAGCTCAACAACCTGACACTGAGGACTACATCGACACCAAGACGATGCCTTCGGGCACTTTGCTGAGCCTCCCAAAGATGACCCTCCAAAGGCCGCCGGCGACGGCGAGCCCGCTGCATCCAGCAGAGCAACAATCCTGGTCCAAACGGCTGAGGTCATGTTGAAGTCGCGGCCGAAAGCAGCACCAGCACCATTGGATGAGCCCGCAGATGACAAGAGAGCCACATCCAGCCAGTACCAGCCGCAGGCAACTGCGCGCTTAGAGGGACATGCATCCGGCCACGTGAAAGCATATTGGATGGAAGAGCATTTGCCTGAATACCAATATACAATGGTGACCAATGCAGACGGGGACGATGTGCCCGGTATCCTCTTTGAAGGTACGGCGTATGAGCTGGAGCTGATATCGGCATCCGACGTTGAGACCATTGCTGGCCAGACTCGTGTCGACAAGAAATTTTCTGATTTTGCAACTCGTGTCAACAAAGTTTGCAGGGGGCATGGATCCTGTGCCAAGGTGCCAATGGACAAAGACCTTTGGATTGACTTGGAGGATTTTGCCAAAGCCTTCCGCAAGGAAGTGCCCCCAGATGTTTTCATCACTGTCGCAAACCTGTTTGGCACCGCAATGAAGATCGACAAGCATGGCAAGAGTAGGTTCCAATTCTTGTGTGCAAAGATCTCCCATTTTCCTGTCGACAATGGCCTAGGCATGCCGTATTATCCTGTGAAAATCCGTGCAATTCAGGGTCACTCCGAAGCTGCCTTGAAAACCGCAGGGGGTCTTTATGCCAATTCAACCATGGTGTATTGCTCAAACCAAGTATCCCCCGAGCGAAAAGCCGCCTTCACTGGCGTGCCCCTGTGTGCCATGACTGAGGTCCCTGAGGTTGTCTTCCATCGCACGATGAGAAGCAGCTGGAAGAGCATCGCACAGAACGGCCTGATCCCAGGTGGCGGTGACACAGTCAACAGTGGCCGTGCTCATATCTACATGGCAGAACACTGTATTGGCACACAGGGGTATCGATCTGGATTAAGAGCAAAATGTCCAATCGAAGTCAAAATCGCAATGCGGCAAGCAGTTGAAGCTGGTGTCATCTTTAGTCGCACAGAAATGGATGGTATTTTGTGTTCAGAACGCATTCCACCGCAGTTTCTGGTCAGCATCTCAGAAGAAGGACAGGTGCTTTGGACCCGCGCCGAGAGCAATCTCGAGCCCAGCTCATGGACAGGCGCGGAATCAGCCTCAGCACCGAAATCCAAAGCGGTCACCCTGACTGCCCGAGATGATGCAAATGACGACCCAATGGATGACACCAGCACGGGGCGACCCGATGCCAAGTCCACTGATGATGATGCAGCCACTGCCCCAATGCAAGTTGACCAGCCGCCCGCAAGGACGCGCCGTGTTTACATTGCACCCAAGTACTGCGAACCTTTCATGGGCTCCTGCCCCCTCTGCCAGGTTGAGTACGTCAGTGGCCAAGTGACATGCACCACATGTGGATATGAACCACTCCCGGTGGACGAAAGTGGCGATACAAAAGAGGCCGACAAACCCAACAGGAGGACACGCATCCTTGAACGGCGAATGCAAAGTCTCGCCGGGTTCGGAATGTTTGGGAAAATGAGCGGAAGCTTGCTGACAGCCTTGACGGATGAGCAAGCCAATCTGCTTCGCCGGGAACTGGGCCCCAGGGGAATCACATCCGTGGAATCAGCAGTCCTCAAAGACTGCCGCGACAGGCATCGACGTGCAAAAGCGCTGGGCTACGAGGACGTGGAAGACAGATACTCCAGCGACGTCACTTTTTGCGACCGCATCCACGGTGAGGGGAAGGACCTGCAGGACTGCATATTCGACGACATGTTCGCATATGGCAACCTCCCCGATCCCCCAAGGACCAAAGCTCAGATCTCGGCTGGCGTCGCCGCCAATGCCCAAAATGAAAACTGCTTATCTAAGTTGATTTTCATGTCCCAGCCTCGAGGTGTTGATGGTTTCCCAGTTGAGTTCCGCAAAACATGGAAGAAGGTCTGGGGATTCATGTTCGGCCGCCACATTTTTACAGAGGATGAATATGTCAGCTACATCGGTCGTCGTGGCGCATTCCGTGGCCTTTTGACCTGGAAGGGCACTGTCCAAGTTCCTTTTGATGGCACTCTTGAATTCCTCGAAAAGGTGTATGAGGAAAATCTTCCATTGGTTCGGGGAAACCTTGAACGCAAAGAGAAGCAGAGCGCCGCTGCAAAGGCTGGAGGCCCTGGAGGTCATAAGGCCGACCCCACGGTCGCGCCCACCACTGAGCGAAAACGCAAAGCCGAAGCTGATGCATCCGTCACCACACATGATGACACTGCCGCCTCAAGCTCTGCTCGCGCAGATGCCTCGCACGCTGATGCCCCAGTTGACCCCAACAATGCACCATTTCTTGCACCCGAACCACCAACACCCAAAGCAGGAGCGCGACCATTCTTGGAGCCTGAGACACCGCCCACTGCAAAAGCAGCAAGCAAAGGAGTCACATCAAAGGCTGCAAGCTCCGGTCGCCCGGATGCCTCCTGGAGTTGGAATCGTGATCACTATGGTGCACGCCGAGAATGGAGTTTCTGGCGTGGGGCTTGGTATTACCGTGACGAGGCCGGCGGCCGGTGGATCTATTGGAACCGCAGGTAGACGATGATTTTCTTTTGTAGCATAGCGCAAGATGCGGCATGGTAATGTGCCTTCCTTGCAAAGCTGCGCTGGGTTTTACGGGCTTGAGCTTTTTAAAGGGACCTTTGAAAGACTGCATAAAAATGATCAAAACCAACTAAAGAAATTTGGCTACCCGCGAGGGTATGCTTTTCTGGGTTATTCGTTCTCCGCAGTCGTCCCTGCTCGCCCGAGGGGGGTGTAAAAACTCCTGCAGTAAAACCATGTGGTGTATATATCATCGATCTACTCTGTAGCGTTGGTTCAAAACAGTGCCAAGAGCTGAGCGGCATTTAGGTCCCACTATAGGTATTTTACCCTATTGTTGGCTGACCTGTTAAATTACAAAGTCCAAGGGTTTATGATGGTTTATGATGGTTTATGATCATTTTTCTATTTTTTTGAGGACAATTTGGTGTTTTTTGGGTCCATTTTTGGACACAACCATATGGCCCGAAATGAAAAGGTTCAGGAGATTTTCCACCAAGGCGGCTCTCTGAGACTGCTCAGATAACGATCAAACTTGATCAAAGAATTCAAAGGTGAGGGACACCATCAAGAATGGGCTATGAGCTATGAAAATGTATGAAACCAAACTTTTTGACATAGAAAATGAACATATCATGGAGACATGCCCAGATTTCATCGTTCTCCTCGTGTCTAGGCCCAGAACGACATTGGATTTGGCACCATTGTTGGCTCCGCCGTCTTCAACGTGCTCTTCGTGATCGGATTGCATCGATCTTAGCATCAAATGCTCATCTGCTTGGTTTTAAGATGTTCGCCAAAAAAACCCTAAGCTCGACCTCCATATACTCAGAGGACACGGAGGATAAACCAAACACTGGCTATACCCGGCTGTAGGCTTTCGGTCAGAGCCAAAGGCTGCGGATTCGCCCCATTTGAGGTGCGGGTATGTTGCCAAAGGCAACATTGACCTGACATGGTGGCCACTCTTCAGAGCCCCTTGGAGTGTTTTTCTTGACTCTGCCTTGGAATTCTGTTAATATGCACCAGATGTAGCACAGCAAAAACCATCATACCGAATCATACCCTTTCTTGCAGTGGTTACTTGTCAGAGTGTTGGACCGTGTGCTGTCCGTTTTCATCGCGACATGTCGTGAGGATTGCTCTTATTACATCACCTCTTTGGCAGTTTTGGCCACTTTTGTCTCCGACCAAGTTGTGGAAGCTTGGGAGGTGCGCGTTCACCCAAAACACCCCGCTCCTGTGTTCAGTTGATTGTTTTCCTCGCAGTGCAAAGTTTCGTTGGTATATTCTATGCGATAGAGGTATTTTGTTGGGACCTGTTTAGGGTTTATATAATGAGTTTAATGATGTTCAATGTGTTTCGACGTGGGCTCCTTGAACTTGTGACTGCAAGGCTGGCGTGCTCTTCGCAATGTACATTTGCTATGTTGCTTTCATGTTTGTGAACCGGCCACTGAACGTGTGGGCGTAACTTGGCATCAAACATGTTATTGGGAGGACAGCATTGACAGCGTGGCCACAGTCCTTAGTCCTTCAAACCCGCAAATCTCACAGCTTGAGGTATGAACTAACAGGCACTCCCTTGAACAAAGAGCTGAGGGAGTACGTTCAGGACAGGGGGCATTTGCAACCTCTATGACCTCTATATGTTTTGTATAGATTGACAATGCAACCGGCCAAGAACACCAAGAAAAGCGTTGCGGCAAACATGTTTGCTGCGCGAATCTCAAAGATTCAGCATGATTCAGCTACATTGGAGTTTGTCTCTCAGCCACCGGCTGAATCATGCTGAAGCCCCAAAAAGGGATCAATTCAGCAAGCATTTGGGACATATGGGTATGTCTGAAAATGAGGTATACCCCCAATGAAATAGCCATAAAAAGTAGGGATTTCATGATCAGCAAAACCATTGGGAAGCTGCAGGAGAAACGTGCTGCAAGTGGCAAGGTTGAACCCGAGAATGCGACTGAAGCGACCGAGCCCGATGCGCCCGATGCCATGACACGGCCAGATGAGCCTCCAAAGCCAGCCAAGGCCTTGGAAAAAATGTCCCCCCCATAGTGGCAGAAATTGGTTACTCATCAATTTCTGGGAATGATCCATGTTGGATATTTTTTTTTGGGATGTGCCCCATTTTTAAGGACAAAGCCAAATCATAGCATTGAATTGAGAAGGAGTCAGCAGTTGGGCGGAATTTTTGGAGGTGGAAAGCTGCCAGTTGGGCGGACATGATTCAAGTGATGCAGATGCCATGCGGCATACGCGAAAATTCTTTGGCTTGTAAAATGCTGGAAGTTCTTTGCAGGACAACTTTATGGAGCATGACAAGGTTGTTGTGAAAAGTCCTGATGAAGATGAAGATCATGAACCTGAAGACCTGGCGGAGAAGCTTGCAGACAAGATTCCGGGCAAGGACACGGTCGGACGGACACGGGCGACGTGACATGGGACATGGGCTGGGCGGCCTGGCCTGGGTCAGGCTCAAAGATTTCACCATTTTCACCGTGCCAGGAGGACAGCAAGGGTGCCTCGATGGAAGACGTGGACGATGACGATGACGATGCTCTGAAAGCACAGCGGAGGGTCCTGGAGGGTCCTGGAAGGTCCTGGAGGGTCCTGGAAGGTTCAGAAATTCGCGTCGCATTGCTGGATGTTGCTGGATCTTCAACAGTACCCACTGCAGGTGATTCTTGGGATGTTGCAGATGGGACATTTTTCATACCCCATGGATCTCCGGCCTGTGAGCCGAATCAAGAACGGCTTGGCTAAAACTTAGGACGACGATGAGCCGGACGATTTCATGGAACGGCCAGACGGCACGGTGAGTTTGATCATTTGGGTGCTGTGCCTCCCTGTGTATATTCCCATCTACTACACACTGTTGGGCTCTCAGCTGCTTTCATAGCCAAAAAGATCGGCCTAACCTTCCAGAGGTTAGGCCGGCTTTGGCTTCCATGACATGTTGGGACCGAAAGTCGATTTCGACTAAGGCCATGGCCCCGAAAGGGACAGAAGTTGTACATGGTCTCCTTTGGTCTTTCTTTGCTTTGGATCGGGAGCTTTGCTTTCCTTCTGGTTTGGTGGACTGAGATCGCTCTCCGGCGAAACTGAGTGAAACTGAGTGAAACTGTGTCCTTAACACTCTGTTTCTTGCAGAACAGCTTCAGAAGAGGCATTCTGCGATGTTGCACTGCTCAGGTAGCTGCAATTATTGGGGTTTTGGCCTCAGAATGGGACTTCTGCAGCCATTGACTTCAAGATATGTGAAAGAAGTGCAAAGACTTGAATAAAAACAGAACTACAGAATCTTTTCCTTTGAATTCCCTTGAATCTGTTTCTAAGATCCCTACCATCATCTCTGGGCTCACGTTCCTTGCGGCTGCGACATCCATTCCGGACGCAGTCAGCTCAATGGCTGTTGCTCGGAAAGGCGCCTGGGGGCTGCGCTGGGCTGCGGAGCTGCCACCAGCACTGAGATCCAATACGTCTCTATATAAGATACAATACCCTCTGGTGAACTAACATAGCTATGGAAAATCACCATTTTTAATGGGTAAATCCACTATAAATGGTCATTTTCAATAGCTATGTTAAATTACCAGAGGGTAAATGCAACGAAGTCATTTTGATGAATTTCGTGGGACGAAGTTTTACGAAGTATGATTCTGCAAAAAATAGCATCAGTTTGAGCATCCGAAGTAACATCCTGGGAGCAGCTTTTAAGGCATCGAACACTTGTTGCCGTCCGGCTCCGTCATCCCGTTGTGAAGCTGGGGCAGCTGGCGCCAGGTCAAGCTGATATGGCCGTGAGCTCCTCGGTGGGCTCCAACATTTTCGACATCCTGGTCACTTGGAGATCGCTGAACGCTGGTGACATGTGGTGAAAATTTGGGGCTCGTAGAAAATTCATGGGACAATTTCCACCGGAACGCCCTACCTATATATTTATATACATATACATACATACAGTATATATACATATATATATATATATTTGATGGTCAAAACAGTCAAAACCATGGTTTCCGGTGAAGATTTTTGGAAAACCAATCCATTGATCAACGCAAAAAAGAACCGCGACGTGGTCTTCAGAACGCGAGGTGGGCCTACCAGTTCCGTGGTTGATCAAGCATGCAATCGAGTCGAGTAGCGATGGTTGGCCAGGGGTGACGATTCGGTGCCTTGGCAACCCATAGATTGGGATTGGCTTTCTGAAAGAAAATATACGGCTATATTAGGGTAAAAAAAGTAAAATCCCAAAGCACATGGTTATATCGTAAAATCGGGTTTCTTTGAAAATATGGTCATATAGTAAAATCCAATCTAGGTGTTTGCAACACAAATCCCTACTTGGGTGGCCATTTTTGGGTGTTTTTTTCCCCATTTTCAAACACACCCATATGCATCAATCACTTTTGCTACATATGTGTAGAATTGTTGGGATAGATGTACCAAGAAAGAAACCGCATCAGTTTAAGCATCAATTGCCAAGGTCTCCGTACTTGATGTTCTACACATGCCTTTTGCTGGGAATGGTCTTGGGAACTGTGGTCAGCATCATGATCAGTGGCTGGAAGTTGAGCAAGTTCCTTGGTGGGTGTATGGCTGTCCTCTACATCGTCTTCATCGTCACCTGTGTGCTCATTGAAGAACTTCAGCCTGCCGGCTTACGGACGAACTAGTAAAGCCCAGCGACCTTGACTGAGCCCTAGCGGCCCGGCACGCCCCGATGCGCCCCGCATGTCACAAGCGGCCAAAATATTTGAAGCTTCTAATGCACCCGGCATTAGCAGAAATGAATCAGACCATAGCATTCGCAGGCTTGTATCTCCCCCCCAGACACACACGGTTGCTGTGTGTACAGCTTCTGTGCTGTGCTGCTTCCATACAAATCAGACTTGTTGCAGTGTGATCCTGCTCCGTAGGTGAAGAAGATTTATGAAGATTCTGATATGTTCTGATTGTGTGCTCCAACCACATTTGTACACAGAGGTTCACTACTTCACATGTTGAACTTTCACGAGCACATTTGAGCAGTGTTCGAAACCCCTGTTGGTTGATGATTATACGCATCACAAAGGGACTATACTATCCAATACATATATATATAGTATTGGGGACGATCAAGATCCATTTTCTCGGAAATCCTATTAACTCAAGGAACGACATTTCGGGTTTTGAACACTGCAGAGTTAAACAGCAAAGCAACTGCCTGAGAGAATGCATTGCCTGTGCTCACAGAACTTCTTAGAAGTTCAAGTGCATACGCCACTGAAATTGCACAAGTCTCACCAAGCGAAGATCTGATCCTTGCAGATTCTCGCTGCCGATGAACAAAAGAGGAAACTTGCAAAGTCGCAGTAACTTGCATTCACTTTGGAAATAGCCCTTGGATAAAAGAAGTGGTTTACACGCCTAGGTTTTGCTTCATTTGGCCTACACTTACTGGTACTACCATGTATTACCATGTATACTTGTTGCTTTCTCCTTTATTTTCCAATGCTGGATTGCCTGCTTCACTTGCTGATTTGCATTTGCATTTGAGCAAGTTGAGCAAGTAGCGTCAGAACAAACCAGAGATTTTGGCTTTGTAATTCGTGTAGCTGCCGAAGGTGACTGGGTGACTGGTGTTGTTTCCATTGTTTTCTGACCTCGTTCGGACCTCGCTGGAAAACCCTCTGGTTATGACTAACATAGCCATGGTATAGATGGCCCATAGAAATAGATGGGTTTACCTATTAATAGCATGGTGATTTTCCATGCCTATGTTAGTCATAACCAGATGGTACTTGTTTTTGACCTCGTTCGCAAAGAAGTGAACTTTGCAGAGCCAGGCGTGCAAGAATCCCCGTGCATGTTGGCAACGGATTTAGATGCGTTCGGAGATTAGCGGTACTTGGCTTCGTCTCCAAATAGGGGACCCAAAACTCCAATTGTGGAGGAAGACTTCCCCCGATCTTGAGGATATAGCCATTTGCAGACATATCAATGGATTGGTTTTGTTGGGAAAATCTTAACCGGAAACCATAGATTTTCCCATTAAATATGGGGCTTTCCTGTAAATTTTCCCTTAAACCAATCCATTGAACATACCCATTTTAGTTACAGTTTCAAGTTTTTCCCATTTCCTGTTGAGACACTGGAGATCTCAGTGTTGCGAAACTTCGGCTTCAGCTTGGAGTAGTCAGACTCGGCACATGCGATGACCAGTGAATTGGCAGAGTTTTTCGCGACCCTGCTGCGGATTGCGAAGTTTATCTTGGATGTGACTGGGCAGGGCATAGGTTTTTTTGGCGAATGCGCGGAACGTGACCCCGAAGTTTCTGAGAACGGTTGGAGGAAACTTCGACAGACATTGTTCTGTGATCCTTCGGAAAACCTCATGGGGAGCCGTGCCATTGGTGATCATCCCTGAATTGTCTCTGAGTTTGCCCACTGATCAATGGGAATTTCAGGATCCTAAAATGGAGGTACCGTACCATATAAGGCCATATTTTCTGGGGATATCCCGTTACATAGGCCTTATATAGGCCTTATATATGGTAGGTACCTCCAATTTAGGATCCTGGAATGGCCGCCTGGCCATTGAACTGATTTCGACACGATCGATGAAAAACATCATCCTTGTCCTAAGCTTTAAGAACATTGTATGGAAATCACAGCCTAGAACTATTCGTTGCTAAGGACCGTGATTTTATTCCGTCCGAACAGGACAGATTTTTATGTGGAATTCCTGGAGATGATTCTTCAAGTTTTACCACATCCTCAACCATCAATCTCTGGTTGGTTTGGAACATGAATTATATTTTCCATAATATATGGGATAATTTATCCTTCCCATTGACGAACTCCATCATTTTTCAAGATGGTTAGTGTTATTGCACCACCAACCAGATCTGAAACTAAAAATTGTCTTGCAAAGAAGCCACGCCCAAAAGCGGTCACAGCTCCAGAGGTGTGAATGTTGTCATAGTTGGGCAACAAGTAATCGTTCATTTCAATGGATTGGTTTAAGGGAAAATCTTAACCGGAAACCATAGATTTTCCCATTAAATATGGGGCTTTCCTGTAAATTTTCCCCTAATCCAATCCATTGATCATTGGCATTGTGAGGGGAATTTTGGTGATGCATATGGGTTTGCCTGAAAATCATCTACGTCTAACTGGTCAATAGTCAATACTAGCATGTTCCCTTTTCGAAAAACCATATAGTAGCGGGTACTACACTACAACTGTATAGCACCCATTTTCTGAGATACCCATAGCCGATATGTCAATTATGATGCCTGTGTCTCGACCAAAAACGAGTGGCCGGTGATCTCAGCTTCACTAAGGTGACTCTAACGCTGATTTGCAGCGCTCTTCTGCTGCTGGCATCAGTGCTGCCCTGGCGCCTTCCCTTCATCGTGCTAGAACTGGTGGAGACCTGTAGTAGCCTCACCTTCCAAAAATTTCAGAAGCAGGTCAGGCCTTGAACATGGCTGGGGCTGGAGAATGGGTAGACTGAGTAGAATGGGTAGAATGGGTAGAACTTCTTGGGAAGCACCGGAAATCCAAGGTAAGGCCAGGTAGGGCTTTCTTAGTTTCCCACGCAGGATATGTCAAATTATTGACTATGGCTGACAGGGTTGGCTAGAAGCATCAAATTCCATTGCTAGTCCTACTGTGCTTGGAGACCGTCATTGTCAATGGGAATTTCAGGATCCTAAAATGGAGGTACCTACCATATATAAGGCCTATATAAGGCCTAAATTTCAGGGAATATCACCACAAAATATGGCCTTATATGGTACAGTACCTCCATTTTCGGAATTCCCATTGACATTGAGCCTCTTTCAAGGTGTTTCAGTCGGTTTGAAGCACAATGCGTTGTCACTGGTCGTGATGCATCATGATGTCCAGGCGGCTCGGCAGTTCCTGTTCTCCCTGGGAGATGCACTTCAGATGCATTCGACAAAATTTTTATCACCGGCCAACCATGCGCTCTGTAGGAACGTGGGTTTTGGATGGTGGTGAGTCGTGTGAACCGTGAGGACTGCAATTCCTTTTAGAGGTAGCACCTCACATTCAGAATCTCAAAAAATTGGGGTAGTTGTTACCTGTAATTCAAACTTGGCGAATTTGTTGTTTCGTCACGATGTCCGCTGAAGAGGGCAACTGTAGAAGAGAGATATCCAGTCAGAACTGTGCTGTAACTATCCGTTACGCATAGACAGATGATTTTTCACTAGATGAACATGTTATTTGTGCTAGACTGCAAAAATGATCAGCAGACAGACATGTTTGAGTTTAGGTGGTCCGGCGGAATTTCAGTTTGTCCTAACACTTGAGACATCCCTCCATTGCTCCCGATGCATAGCAGCCGCAACGGATGCAACAGCAGACTTTGATTGAAAGACACTAAGATTTAAAGATTCCGCACGCTGAATAGGCCTATTGTTTTTTGTGTACATCCAAGATTCTGCAACCTACCAACTACATCCAACTACACTTTTTTCCATACCATCACTATATCAACATATATCAACATCAACCATCCATAACCATCCCAAGCTGCTTAGCTCTCCTCCGGGTCTTCCGCTGGCCGGCGGGCCTTTGAGGTCGTGATCTTTGCATTGGTCCTAGCCTCCCTTTTCTGGCCCCCTCGATGGCCTGGGTTACTGCATACCTTGAAACTGGCCGCCAAGCCACCTCGAGATGAAGATGACGATAGTCACAGCGGCTACAACTTGGAAACACGCTTTGAGTGGATCATGAACGCCTTTGACTTGGATACTGGATGATGACTGGTCATTTTAGATCAAAAAGACCACGACTTTGGCCGAAGTTACGATGTGGGTCTGTGAATCGCTATGAATTGGACTAGTTTAGACTACAAATGTCTTCAGCTAGAGCAGTTTCAGTTTAGCCCGGGACTGCTACAAGCATTGCAAGCTCGAGATTGTGTGAAGGGGGAAGGAACTATATTAGGGTTTCCTGAAATAGGGGTACCCTTAAATCATCCATTTGAAGAGGATTTCCAATTACAAACCACCCATTTTGGGGTACCCCCATTTTAGGAAACCCTCATATGGAAATCTAAGATGAAAAAGTGGGGCCACTCCTTCATTGAACTCTTTCAGACAAGGTTGGGATGGCACGAGGGGTAGATCTTTGTTTCTTGGACAGGACAGTTGATGTGCAATTTTCAGGGGTACAAAAACTCTTATGAAGTGTTATGAAATTCATTCAACTATTTCAACTTCAAAATTCCAAATTTCCAAATGTAGGCCAACTATGGTCACCTGTTGTTATTTGGAACTATGGAACTATGCCTGGCCAATGGAGACGGAAATCCTATGAACGATCCCAGCCTCAAGTGAAAATGGAATCATGAATGCACAGTGGAGAACTAGGCGTTTGCTGCAAGGTATCAGAGAAATATAGAGAAATCACAAATTCAGAGACATTTTGTTTCCAGCAATGGGGTGGCGACCATGCAACGTCCAGGAAAGTTATGCAGACATCCTGCTGTTTCCCTTGGTACTAGTGCTCCTGCTAGCGCCGTGGCGATGGCTTTTGCGGGGTCTGAAGCTTCAGAATTTCCAGAAATCTATGGAGCGCGCGAAGAGATCTGATCGGCCCTGCGCAAGGAGCTTTTAAGCAAGTGACTGCTGATTGTTGCTGTTCGCTTGATCTTGAACGCAAATATCTCTATGATTGTGGCTGAACTGTGATCTCTTCTGTTGATTTCACCAGTCAACATACATTTTATATCATTTTATCTGAAAATTCATGGAGAAATGAGCAATTCTTGAGTAGCAGCTATAGCAATAGGCCCAATAGGCCATACATAGCAACCTCCTTTGGACAGTGGCTTGACATGTGCTGCTTTAAACCTGGTCTTACCATCGCAGGATGTCTGCCTTTCGAAATTGGGCTGCCTGGGAGGGCATCAATGCCATCATGGACCTGCCATTTGTCGTCTTGGGCCTTGCGTTTCTTGGATCACTCTCCGGGATTTACGGTAAGGAACTTATGATGGTACCATGAAAATATGATAGGTATCATCTTGTTTCCTGCGAAGTCTTTGCCTTTCTCATATGCTTTCCTTTCATATTCATATCTATTTAAGCCATGCAACATACTCTTGATTGGTTAGTATACGGGGTATACCATAGGAATACTTCCAACCCAACCAGTATAAGCAGTATTTCACGGGAGGGAACCACGGGCCACTTTGCTCGATGCGAAAGGACAAGTTTCAAGGACAAGTTTCGGGCTTTGTCCTTTGCTCCGGTTCTATAGACTGTTATCTTGTGAATCAAAACCATCATTCGACATTAAAACATATTATATAAGACATATTAAGACAGGGTTAAAAGAAAGCCATATTAAACCATAGTATATAAATATATTTCAACACATATTAAGACTTAAGACATGTTAAAACATGGTTTTTCACTTGAAAGCTGAGACCAAGCGGCTTGGCCGATCAACTGGACTCAGGTCTGCTGTGATTCCGACACGAATCAAGGCAGAGCGGAAAAAAAATCGGGGGTCGCATCGGTGACAATGTGAAAATGGGGCTACGAATGGTTACTGGTTGGTGGTTTCAAAGATTTTTTATCTTGTTGCGAACCCCAGCCTAGCCCCGCAGTGCCGAGAGGAAAAACACTTTTTTTTTTATTTTCCATAATATATGGGATAATCCTTCCCATTGACTAATATTTTTCAAGACTGTTAAAACCACCAACCAGGTTATCATTGGATTGGTTTAAGGGAAAATCTACAGGAAACCATGGTTTTTCCCATTCAATATAGGGCTTTCCGGTTAAACATTTTCCCTTAAACCAATCCATTGATTATGATCTTTGGGAAATTCTCTGGAATTATAGTTTTGAACTCAAACATGTTCTGAATGTGGAGTTCTTTGTGTGGAGTTCTTTGTTTGTTTGGTCACATAGGTATATTATTGGATTGCATTCGAACATGTAATTCCAGGCTCCTTACTAACGACAGGAGAAAGGGTGTGCCATGGCAGACGCTTGTGCGTGTGTGGAATTTAGTTTGATGCAACTATGGTATGAAGTTGGGAATGTTGCTAAGGGTTCAATGATCGGCTGAAAGACGTTGGAGGCACATACACTGAACATTAGAAGTTTTGAAGATGTGAAATGGACTTGATTTGCTGGAGGGAGGCTTACAATGGGCCTACGAATTCGATCAAAGGACTGATGAGACTGATGAGGACCATTTCGATGAGTTCTGAGAACTTAAAGGTGTGACACACGATGATGCATTTGTAGTCAAAGGCATGCCTTGTCAGCGCAATTCCAGTGCAGTGTTTTAGTGTTTGGTCTGGACCTTTGTAAGCAAAAACCAATGTCAGCATTTTCATAGAAGATTGTGGTGCTTCCACTCTAACCCCTGCGGTTGTACAACCACTGGAGATGCACCTCGAAATGCCTCTTGCAGAGGCGTTTATTTCTGTGCTACTTCGAATCGACCTGGAAGACGACCTTGAAGATTGTGAAGCCAGGAGGGGGACGAAGTTCAAGTTAGTTGGCTTGGGCCAAAAGAGTTGGCGCCAAAACAAATTCTGTTGTACTTCCCATGGTACTTCCCATAGGTTTTCTTCGATGGTTTTTTTTTTTTATATGTGTTTATGATTATGGATTTGAGTGAAACTATCCCTGGTTGGTGGTTTGGAACATGGCTTTTATTTTTCCATATATTGGGAATTTTACCAGAGGGTAAGTTGAGTGAAATGCCCCAGATATCGCTACTTTTGAACTCCAGGTCCGATAGGACAGTGGCTCAGCAATTCGCCGAAAAAAAAAATCCGCCGACATGCCAACACACCATGCCCACTCAAAGTCGTTGGTTTTTCTCAGCTGGCTAAGCGGCTAAACTAAAGTACTTACCTGAAACAATCCTGGAAGTCTCCGAAGTGTGAATTGCTGAGGAATGCTCATGCCCACGGAAACTTCGATTAGATCAGGAATGCTCAGCATTTCTAGGAGAATACTGGTGGCCGACTTGGCCAAAGCTGAACATGGATCAACAGGATTGAAAAATATTGAATAAGATGTATGTCCATGTCATCCATGTCCATGTTTGCGTCGAGTAATTGTTTTTTTTTCTATGTTGTCTTTGCTCCACCGCCTTGTCAGCGTCAGGGTGTATTTGGCCATGCTCCCCATTTTGTCCATTTGCGACATGCTGGCGGCTGCTTTGGCATTCCTAGCCATCGTCAATCCCTTGCGCTGCGGAGCATTTCTGCGGCTGATGTCAGCAAAGTGGAACGACAAGTTAGTTGCTTGGTATGTTCAGATGGCTTTGGGTCAAAAGAAACTGCGGTATAATTGGTGAGTGGATCTGCGGTTGCTGCAGTGGCCAACGATCTCTGAAAGAAGCAAGTGAAGCAAGTGGCATTCAGTCAAGTTCCACAGTGTGGTCATGTTCATGAGTTCCTCACATTGCTGGATGGCAGTATCCTTGAACATTTGACATGTGAAGAGTTAAACCATGTCAAGCTGATAGAGAGACTTGTCAATTTCCACACACCACCTGTGAAATTTCTTCTTACATCAAAGCTGACACAGAATTTCGAGATATAGAGAGCCCCTTTCGTGAGCGGACGCACTTTCTATATGTTTCGATTTTTTTCCTGACGAACTCAATAGGATTCAACAAACGACGCATCAACTGGGTGTCTGAAGATGGGGGGCACCCCCCAAATGGCATCGCCAACGAATGTGTTTTCTTCAGCCGCCCAGGAGACCACATGTAATCTTTCGCCGGATTTTCAGAAAGTGGTTCTATGGAATGCCCGCCTGCGCTCCATTGCGATACGTTCAGGCCAGAGAACACCGGAGAACATCGGGCGGGGGAAGAAGCGTCACAAGCGTCGGCAAAGTTGTTGAGAAACTGTCCATGCGCTCTGCATCAAGACAAGCACTAGCCTACAGCAAACACACAGAAACACACGCAGCCACCAAAAAGCAACAGCTAACCAAACATGCCCTGATTCTCGACATGGCAATTTTCAGGTCATCTCAAAATGTTTTTTCCCAGGTTTTTTCGTGGTGTTTCCAGTATGAAACACATTGAAACACTGACAATCTGATATCGGCATCGGTGGATCGACCTAGAGCCGGAATTTTGACATTGTGGACCTGATATGGGCACAGGAAAAATGTTGAATTGGAAGCCACTTGATATGATATGGGCGGTTTCTATCGAAACTGGTGATTCAAATGGTAAGATGACCCAAAAAATGTTGTGAAAATATGGTTTTTCATGGGTTTGTCGGTTTCACCATCAAGATGCGGTGACATGGTGCCATTCTTGAGGGGAACATCAAACCCCCTTTGGCCCCACAGTGAGGTTTAGCGTCATTGCTGGATTTGTTGCTTCTTCCATTGGGCCTGATGGTTTGCATCACCCTGTACAGAGCAACTGCGGCTTGTGGGGGGGGTTGGATCGCTGTGCGATGATTTCCCAGATGACAAAGGCGTCTTTCTTTTTTCAAGACCCAAAGTCATAGCTCAACCTGCAAGACCGATGATAGACCCATCTATGAGCCTAAGGTTCATGAACTTATTATCCAGTCATAGCTGGTTCATGGATGTTTTACTCACCCCAAATATGATCATAATAGGTTTTGACCGATCCCCTGGAAATCAGCTACAAGATGTGTCAAATGGAGCTGGCTCCAACGAAGATCCGTTTGACTGGAGCAGATGCTAAAGCATTTTTGCCCTGTTTTTTTTTGGCCGTGGCTCTTATTTTTGTGGTAATTTCAGATATGGCTATGGATCAATACCTATCAATACCATTTTTAGGGGGATGAACGTCCATAAATCCCAGCTATTTTCATGTGAACAAAAAAGGGGTACTATTGGTTTTGACACACTGCCATATTTCAGATAGCTATGGAAAATCGCCATTTTCACGAGGCAATGATCTATCATAAACGGGCCCCTTTCTATACCTCTCTTGTATCGGATGGGGTGGAAGCGTGGGAGCTTTTTGGCCTCCGAAAAGCTTGGGGAGCCGCTTGGAGCAATGCGAAGCAATACACGTTTCCTAGCAACATTAAATGGTATGATATTAGAATATTAGAATATATGTATGTATGTAAGTGTATATTTTTGGGCTGACGCCCCTCGTCGGCTCCGCCGGACCACTCGGCCCTCCATTTCATCGCAGTGAGGGCGTGAAAGTTACTGAATGAGGACCTGCTTCAGAAATAAGTATATTCCTTAGGTTTTTTGGAACATATTTGTTGGAATAGACGTTTTTTGGGGAGCAAGTGAGTTCCCGAAAGCTCCTGCGAAGGGTTTTTCCTAAAGAACTGCTGCCGATTTCAACTTGTTACTTCGTGTAAAGGCGCCTCTGTGCAAAGACTTCTCTGTGTAAAAGCTTTTGTGTGTAAAAGTAAGATTCTCTGTGTAAAGACTTCTTTGTGTGAAAGCTTCTTTGTGTGAAAGCCCGTCTGTGTAAAGATTTCTCTGTGTGTAAAAGCTTCCGTGTGTAAACACTCTCTGTGTAAAGGCTTCTCTGTGTAAAAGTTTCTGTGTGTAAACGCGTCTGTGTGTTAAAGCTCTCTGTGTAAAGACTCCTTTGTGTAACAGCTTTTGTGTGTAAAAGCTCCAAGACGTTTGTGTGAAAAAGCTCCGCAGAGGAAAGACTTCTCTGTGGAAAACCTTCTGTGTGTAAAAAGCTACTCTGTGTAAAGGCTTCTCTGTGTAAAAGCCCCTGCGTGTGTAAAAGCTTGCTGTGTGTAAACGCTTTGGTGTGTAAACGCTCCTCTGTGTAAAGGCTTCTCTGTGTAAAAGCTTCTGTGTGCAAACGCGTCTGTGTGTAAAAAGCCCTCTGTGTAAAGACTTCTTCGTGTAAAAACTTCTGTGAGTAAAAGCTCCTAGACGTTGGTCTGCAAAAGCACCTTAGAGTAAAGACTTCTCTGTGTAAAACCTTCTGTATGTAAAAAGCTCCTTTGTAAAGACTTCTCTGTGTAAAAGCCCCTGTGTGTGTGGGTAAAAGCTTCTGTGCGTCTCCTCCCTCCAGCTTTCTTTCGGGTCACGCTGTCGTCCAGTTTCAATCTGCAACGTTGTTTCTTGTGGAAGAGTGCAAAATAATGCAAAGAACATGTGAAAGCATCGCGTGTTTAAAAATTGAACATAAACAGCGCACAAAGTGCTGTAATTTACAGCATATTGCGCTGTCAGCTGGCAAGAACCCGCGTAAATACCACAGTTTTAGTCCCCCAAAGTGGCTAAAACACTGTTATTTACAGGGTTTCGTTCACGTCACGATCTTCGATTTTTTGGGAAACGCGTAAATACCAGCGTTTTTTGCGTTCATCAAGGCAAAACATCGGTTCAAAAAGTGCAAAAAATGCTGTAATTTACAGGGGTTTGGCGCCGTCACGGGCAAAAAACTGTGTAAATACCAGCGTTTCAGCGTCCAAAAGTGGCTAAAACACTGCTATTTACAGTGTTTCGTGCCTTCCACGTTTTCTTGAAATTGCAAAAACAGTGTAAATACCAGCATTTTTTGCGATAAACTTGCCAAACATGCTGTAATTTACAGTGTTTTTTGGCTTGGCTTTCAAAAACACTGGTATTTGCAGTGTTTTGTGCATCTCGGGTCAAAAAAGTATTGGTATTTACAGCATTTTCTGCGTTTTTGCATTGCTCCCGCAAAAGACGTTAAAACGCAAAAATGCTGTAATTTACAGCACTGTGCCCATTTCGAAAAGCTGAAAATCGTCCGAAAAATGTGTCAAAACGACACTTTTTTTCGATTTTAGGTACCCTCAAAACGGGGGGGGGGGAATGCTCTTGGAGACGCTTATGAGCGACCCGGATCCCGGCCAGAAAGCTCTCCCCCACCCTCCTGAAGGATTTTGGTGTTTTTCGGGGCCCGGCGTCGGAGGGTCGGCGGCTTGGGGCGCGCCTCACCTTAGAGCTCTAGTCGCTCTGGGACGCTCGTGGGGCAAGCCACTCGTGGGGAGCCGGCGGAGCCGAATTTAAGGGCTGCCGCCCCTGCCGCCGACCCCGGAAAAGAATAAGTAAAGGTTCTCTTGCCGAAGTAAACATTCGTAAGGTTCCGCATGTTTTGCGGACCATGCAACTGTTCGAGAAAGTGAAACAATATCTGGCAAAATATACCTGATGCAGATGACTTATAGGCCTTGAGCAGGTGCCGCAATGTTCCAATTTGATCAAGGGTTGGTGAAACAGGCAAGAGTGACGAGACAGTTGACATGAAGCTTGCTCTGAACTGAACAACACATGTATGTGCATTTGGGCTGAGAGACCTAAGACTAAACTGCTAAAAGCTATTAGGACAAGAAAGCTGCAGCTTAGAGGTCACCACATATCATCACAAAGACCTAAGGTGTGGTGCATCATTTTTTGTGTGCCACGCAAAAGTTATTTGTTTAGAGTTGTTAGAACGACATGCTGCAGATGTGACTTGCCCATGGTTATTTTGGCTATACTTTGCCCTTGCAGACTTCGACCCAAGTGAGGGAGCCAAGCCGTGGATCAAGAGGAAATTTCAAAATGTGAAGAAGGAAAATGGATGACGATTGTATGGTTTCCATTAGTCAAGCAATGTTTTATTTGCAAAACAAAACAAACGCAGGAATATTTCGGCACCGCAGCATGGAAAGCTAGAGAATCAAAACGAAGAGTTTGCTTGCAATGCCAAGCCAAAACTCGTGGTTCTTGGACGTGCACGGCCTGTCAACAACGGAAGCCCCAGCAGCAATTTTCCATGTTTATCTCCAAGCGGCCCTCTGGGGAAGACGGAACTCAGATCTGCAACACATGCCGTACCGCCATTGTGCAGGATGCTATCCGCAAGCGTGCTGCCACGTCCGCCACGGCGCGACTGGAACCTCTTCGCAAAAGAGCCCGCCACGTGCAGATTCTACGTGACACCTGGGAAGCGATTGCAAGAAACCGAGGCAGCCAAAAACGGCAAGCCAGTGACACCACGGCAACCGCCGTCTCACAGACAAAAGAGGACACCAAAGAATGTCAAGAAGTAACAAATACCACATTACGAACGTATGTCTGTCCAGCCTGCGGCAAAGCTACAAAATCCACAATAATTACCGGAGAGGTGCTAACACAAGGACATTGCGGACGACGCTTTCGTGTCAAGAATGGTGCAGTGTGTCGGCAGTACACCCACTATTGTCCGGCTTGCAACACGAAGGTGACATCAACAAAATCACACGGACGAATACAATCGAAGCACAGAAATGACACAGGACGATATTGTAAAACATATCAGTGGACCAGTGCCGGCCCAAAGTAAGTTGTCATGTTTGAATTTGACTTATTCTTCTCCTCCTTCTTCTTCAGTTGCTGTTGTTCTGCTGCTCCGGCTGCTGCTGCTGCTGCTGCTCCTACTCCTGCTGCTAATGCTGCTGGTTGCAGCTGCAGCTGCAGCTGCTGTTGCTGCTGCTCTTGCTGTTCCTGCGCTGTTGCTGCTCCTGCTGCTTCCAAGGCAAGAAACCAACAGCCAGACATCTTTTTCGAAACCCACTCGAAACGACAAAACACCACCTAAGTTCGTGCCGAAAAGGACGCAACATCGCATCAAACAAGTCCCTAACGTGTCTTCTGAAATCCTAGAGAATTCTAGGATAAATCCTAGAGAATCCTAGACTATATATAGTACTGGCGGCCTGCTGGCTGCTACAAAAACGTAGGTCCCGGACAGGGAAACACCATGGCTGGGCCTGCTGTTCCTCGGTCCTGCTAGATTGCTGTTCTTGCTGTTCCTGCTGTTGCTGCCTGCTGTTGCTGCTGCTGCAGCAGCTGCATCTTAGAGAATCTTAGACTATAAATCCCAGAAAATCTTGCAGCTGCCGGTGCTGGTGCTGTCGTCCGCTGGTGCCGGTGCTGGTGCTGTCGTCCGCTGATGATGCTGCTGTTGCTGCTGCTGCTGCCGCCGCTGCCCAAAAGCACCTCTCGGCACCAAAACAGCCGTTGCTGCTGTGCCATCAACCAGCCTCCAAGGCGAGAAACCAACAGCCAGACACCTTTTTCGAAACTCACTCGAAACAGCCAAACACCACCTAATTTCGTGCCGAAAATGACGCAAAGTGGCAGCAAAAAACTGCCTAACCTGTCTTCTGAAATCCTAGAGACGCCTGCAGAATCCTAGACTATAAATCCTCGAAAATCTTAGACTATATATAGTGCTGGCTGCCTGCTGGCTGCTGCAGAAACGTCGGTCCCGGACAAGGAAACACTATAGCAGTGCAAGACGGAGGCAGCTGCAGCTGCAGCTGCCGCTGCTAGTGCTGTCGTCCGCTGATGCTGCTGCTGCTGCTTTTGCTGTTCCTGCGCTGCTGCTGCTGCTCCTGCTGTGCCATCAACCAGCCTCCAAGGCGAGAAACCAACAGCCAGACTTCTTTTTCGAAACTCACTCGAAACAGCAAAACACCACCTAATTTCGTGCCGAAAATGAC